CACTAATGTATACAGTAAAACATTCATATTCCCACTGGAGGTTCCTAACTTATCCAAAAGCCAGAACCAGCTAATTGGTTGCCAAAGCTAGCTATGCTACTGTTACAAGTTGGAAAAATGACAACATCATATCAATACAGTAGGGTTTGATGGGCGGGAATTACATGGAGATGCCAAGGATGAAGCATTCAATAGGGGAGAGTCTGCCTTAGATGCAGAGCATGAGCTTCTTCCAGTACAAGGGGCAGAATTACAGTCGGATACTGGGATTGAAGGATCAACCTGTAATATTGTAAAACTAGATTTAAATAACAAACCTTTATAATAGCAGTGTTTTATACTTAATAAAAATTACCATAACCCAACCCCCGGGGTTGAACTCAGCTCTGTTTACCAGGTTGAAATTTCAGCCCTATCTGTAATACAAAACTGTATCAAAATCAAACGTGCGATTACATGACAAAATTTTCAACCCGGGGCTGACTGCTGAGTTCAACCCCGGGGTTGAATTTTCAACCTTCAGCTAGCAGGGTTAAAATCTCAACCCCGGGGTTGTAATAGTTTCAACCCAGGGTTGAAATTATCATGAGTTACTCGAGCATGCGTAGTAGTGACTATTTATTACAAGAACACAAAAGGAAGGCTTTTTTTACCTCCGGGAATTCATGCCGAGAACGTATAGTATAGCATGCTTGTGTGATGTTACTCTGAGTGTATATCCACACCGGGCAGGCTTGAAAAATATGCCTGGCCATGGTGGCCAGAACCGACCTGACCGCATAGCTCAGTTGGCAGAGCATTGGGCTAGTATTCCAAAGGTCGTAGGTTCGGTTCCCACCGTGGCCAGGCATATTTTTCAAGCCTGCCCGGTGTGGATATACACTCAGAGTAACATCACACAAGCATCTTATTCACCAGAGTACATTACACCAACACAGCAAATCTCATGATTATTAGATTACACTGATATCGAAGGAACTAGACTCAGTTCCGAAATATAGCATACTCGAACCGACCTGACCGCGTAGCTCAGTTGGCAGAGCATTGGGCTAGTATTCCAAAGGTTGTAGGTTCGATTCCCACCGTGGCCAGGCATATTTTTCAAGCCTGCCCGGTGTGGATATACACTAAGAATAACATCACACAAGCGTCTTATTCACCTGAGTATATTACACCAGTATAGTATAGCATTTCAACCCGGGGGTTGAAATCGTCCATGTAATCGCAAAAAAATTTCAACCCGGTTAAAGATGCGGTACAGTCCGTATGTAAACAAAGGCTTTGTTTACATTTCGGTATCCAAAATATTGAATTTTATTCCACAACTATTTATATTTTCATGATTCTAGAGTATAAAATTATCAAGAGACAACAATCAAGCTTTGCAAGAACATAAAATGAAATAAAAACCTAAATAAACTGTTTGTAAATAAAAAAAGGGCTCCTTTGTGCACATGCGCAGATCGGACTGTACCGCATCTTTAACAGGGCTGAGTTCAACCTCGGGGTTGAAAGTTTTCCATGTAATCGGCTTGTTGGTCTCCATTTCAACAAGAGAATCTCATTTCTATATAGAATGGTGGCCATGTTGGTCCCCAAATTCAATTATCTGTTAATTACCAAAGGATTGCTTGCAAGTCAAGAATATATAATAATATGCCTTTAATTGCAATTATAATTTACCTGATTTTTATATCTTTGTATAGCAATCCTTAATTTGAAAATTTTCCCTCCTTTTAAAACCAGTTATTTTAGCAAGACATCACTACAGGCAAGCAACTCGATTGTGCAGAGCTATTAAAATATTAAAAACAACCATTATTTGTCTATAAAATGTGACTATTTATACACTGTTTTGCTTACACCTTGTCAGTGTATTTATTGTTATGAACTATATGTTGTTGTTGCTGTTGCTGTTGCTTAGTAACCAATAGAAAACGGAGCTTGGTTTTTTTGCTGTGTTTACAGGGTTATAATTGATGTAGTAATAGTTATATTCAGTAGCTATAATGTACTCTCGCAAATTTTGTTGCAGAATTTGGTGCAATATTTGGACCTCGTGTTCCTCATGTTCGTCCAAAATTCAATTCGTAGGGTTAGCATTGTAAAAAAATTTGGGGAAGATGTATAATCAAGGGGCCCTCCAAACTACTTCAACCGAGGGCCCATAACTGAAGATTTACGCCACTGGGACACAGTACTTAATGAAAGAATATTGAATCATATATATATATATATATATATATATATATATATATATATATATATATATATATCATAATGTATTGTATTCATAATGTATTGTCTTGTATTCAATTTTGAATACAAGTTATTTCTGTTTGATATATCATAATGTATTGTCTTGTATTCAATTTTGAATACAAGTTATTTCTGTTTGATAGCTTTACCTCTTTATATATATATATATATATATATATATATATATATATATATATATATATATATATATATATATATATATATATATTATATATATATATATATATAATTGCTAGCGTAATGGCCTACTACTCAGTCATATTCTCAATGCGTTGTATTTTGCACAACGTTTGCCTGTAATTTGGAAGATGACTAACCCAATACCAGAACAAACCCGTACTTTTTTCGCAATAAATTAAGACTAAACTACTTCGCTCACGCCGTGCGTTTCCAAAGTAGCAGCCGGATTCTGTTAAACCAGCTGCATGTCTTAATTATAGTAAAGATTATGCTAAAACACAGTTAAAACCAGCTGTTCTGCTGATAATTGATTCTAATGAAAGTGGAGCATTTTCAAAGACCAAAATCTCCTACGTCGGCGTTTGATCAAGCAGGCTGCATAATTATAATGCCTGGGTACGGAGGGAAACGGCTCGCAATTACTCTCTAAGAGTGTCATAATTGACTTCCTATAACTGATAGATCTCAAATAATTAAATTGTCGGAGTTCGGTGCCCTCTGCATGTTCAGTATCTCAGATTCTGGTGTATCACAGGTTTACCTTATGTTGTAGATCATACATATGTCAATGCCTTTAGTTGGCGCTGCATTTGCAGTACCAATAAGTCATAGATTTTATGCAAATGCTTTAGAGTGCCAACTGCAATTGCAGAGCCAAAATATTTTAAAAAATATGTCAATGCTTTGTGTGACTGTAAACTATTTATTTTGTATATAAATGTCAGGATGGTGCTAAAACGACCAATTTATATTGAATCTAGCAACACTTCATTTTTTGTGGCAAATTATTGTCTAAACTTGCCTTTTTAGCATTAACGAAACGAATTTTGTGCATTACTTGACAATATTTAGAAATTTGATCAAATTTGGCATGAATTTTCCTAAATAGAATATTTCACTTTGCTCTGGAACGTGTTTTAGAGATTGGAAATTGCCGATGTCACAAATTCTTCCTAAACACACAACCAGCAACGCTCAGACTATATAGCCAGTGTTGTAACGAGTCACCTACAGGTCGAGTCACGGGTCGAGTCGAGTCACGAGTCGAGTCATTTCAGTCTCTGATCGAGTCGAGTCAGTGGTTTGACTCGAGTCGAGTTGAGTCAGCGGTTTCACTCGAGTCAAGTCGAGTCAAACAGGGTGGACTTTTGTCGACGCTGCATAAAAATAGCGCGGGCTCGTGAGCTTTTTCCCGCAAATTTTGTTTTTGGATGTTTGGCATACAATTTCCAAGGATGTTGACGTTTACAGCAATGTGATTCACTGGTTTTTGAAAGCATCGGGTTTTTTTCGTTGGAACTTGCAGGCTAACCGTTCAACAACCTAATGACTGTTTTTAAAGCAAAGCAATTGAAAGGAAAACTTATATTTTCATACGAAGAAGATGAGTGGCGATATTTATGTTAGTACTGTTTTGAGCAGATGCTTCGAAGAACATGATATGATCGGACCTTGTATCTTAAAAGTGTACTTGGAACAGCCGAACAAAGTGGTAAATTATGTTACCCGGTGTGTTGGGCATCATAATTCACAGGAATAGTGCACAGTGGCGTTTAAACTGGCTATGAAATATGAATACTTCGTCGAGTTCTCTACCGCCATGTGACCTGTAGTTTAATGTGGCACGCGTCTTTGAAAGGGCTTTACTTGACTTTAATCGACGTGTAAGGTATAACTTAGGTAAGCCAACATTTCCTTGTAATGCGAGCTACATTTTCGTATCTTTAATGTGTGAATATTTTTAATTTTGTAAAAAAATAAGCGCAATATGTTGTTGGAGAAAGTATCGAGTGCTTCATAATAACGCTCAGATCTTGTATACAGATTTTAGTATTTTATTTAAAATCTACCCTTTATCACCACTTTTTTTATTCTTTTATGTTAAAGTATACATAATCCTTGACTTAAAAACACGATGATCTACTCGAGGAAAATTGGGCAAAGGGGCGATCTTTGCAGAGAAACTTGACCGTTCGGTGAAATTGGTAGTTCAGAGACCCTATATTTTCATTGTAGTATTTCGTGTGGCAATTTGTTGGCCGATTTCTAGTTATATTGTAGAACGGGTTCCTAGTGAATTAAATTAATTGTCTATCCTCTACAGAGTAGTAATAAGCGCGACTCCTTTTTGTTGACGGATGTTGAATTCATTTTAGACTTTTGTTCATAAACAACAACTACACTACCGAGTACTAAATCACTGTTTGCAAAGAAATGAGCCTATCACCACAAAAATTCAAGCTTATTTTTAGAGTCAAGTAGTGTCTCCGTACGAATTTAAAGAAGGTCAATTTGCACTTGTATATCTCACTTCGAAAAGGATATACATATTAAAAACAGGGATATTTGCACTGCGAAATTAAATTAATAAATGCGTAGACGAAAGTCCACCCTGTTGTCGAGTCACTGGTTTAAGTCGAGTCGAGTCAATAGCCAGACTTAACTTGAGTCAGGGAATTTGATCAAGTTTACCCACATCCTTGTCCCCAGGGCCTCTCGGCCGTGCGCGTCCTCTGTAGGCCCTGGAACATACTGAACCGGAAGTGCAAGAAAACTTGCAGTAGTTTCTAAAGCGCATGGTCTTGAATTGGGACACTTTAGCACCCGTAACAATTTTCAAAGTGAAGTATTACGAAGAAACGAAGTATTTGCGTTGACATATGTTGATAGAATAATTTTTCCTAGCGAAAACTGCTCAACTTCTGCGAAATAGCATTTCTCTGAGAAGCCAATCAGATCTCTTGCTCTAGTCGTCTAACCCAGAGCCTAATTTTCAACGAGTGACCGAGTGAAAATGGCTCTGGGGACGAGAATGGTCCACCCCGCGCTTTTTGCAATAGTTCGTTACCTTTAAGCTAATCACTTTAGTCATGTAATAACAACCATAGGCTATACCAATATCACAGTTCTAGTCAATATTAAGTACAACCACATGAGATGTCTCATCATGCCTGCTGATCGAGTGTACGTACATACATCTAGCATAACTTGCAACTGGAGTCAGAATTAACAAAGAATAGATTTTAATTAACCACGCCTTGTAAGTTAATTTGAAATTATATAGCACTTCATAAATACCAAAAATGAAGATAGCCGGTCAGAATTAGTACAAGTACAAAAAATGTTGAAACTCCATTTTAAAAACTGTGGCACTAGCGTTGTTTCTAAAAACAGAAATGTAATATAGGCATGCCCGTCAGGAATATATTGTATTCTATGCAAATCCCATATATATTCTGATAAAGTTTCGAAGTTCTCATTGTACACAAGGCTCATTGTTTTTCCCAAGAAATACAATCACAATAATTTTGATGAATTTATTCTGTACAAGTTGTAGCTAAGTTGACTCAAGTCATTTACGGCAAAATCAGCAAGTCGAGTCCGAGTCGAGTCATTTGGGCTGTTGACTCGAGTCGAGTCATTTTTCGTTTTGGACTCGAGTCGAGTCGCTGAAAATAGCGACTCGAGTTGACTCGAGTCCGAGTCAATGACTCGACTCGTTACAACACTAGCTGTATATAGCATTATTATTAAGAATTATGTTATTAAGAATTTCGATTCTTAATTTTCTAACCAACTTACTGATTTCAATCATGTAGTGGATAAATGTAACTATATAGACTCCTTTGCAGGAATCGACCTTGTGACCCTGCGATTCTAGTGTAGCGCTATGCCCAACTGAGCTACAGTTTGGAGCGTGTTTCCCTCCAACATGACCGCCATATCTTTGTCTTATAAATCTCAAATGATTGATTGGAAACCACCAATATGACTCGGCTTAATCTTACTCGCATAAATTACCATAATGTCCCGTTTACACTATACCGGATTAATTTTCACTCTGAAATAAAAAAACAAGGGTGTTTACACTATGCCGCTTCACTGTTGGCAGCTCATGTCTTTCACTGTTGCCATGGAAACAAGAGAAACATTTTTTGCCAATGTACTAAAATTTATTAAAAACAAGAAGTAACACACGTTTTCTTTGCAAAGTATATAACTTTGTTTAAAAAGCTTGAACACCAGGGGCCGCGGTTGTATAAACAAGTGATTAAAGTTAACTATAATAAAGTGGAAACGTCATCCAATAAGAAGCGCCTATTTGAGAGTTAATCACTATTTAACTACAAAATAGTGATCAAAAAAGTGATTAAAAGTTTTATACAACCGGCCCCAGACATTGCTTCGTCTCGCTCTGATCCAAAATTGACGAGTATTTCTTTAAATTTTGCTCTTTCGAAAGCGAAAAGTCAATGTTATTATCGGTTTTCTTTATTTATCTTCGCCAGAAATAGTAAATGGTTGTAAGGCGAAACGAACAACAGCTATAAAGTACTGTAAAAACGAGCAAATAAAGGCGACAATGTTAAATTAACATACACGCCAAACCGATTTTGTACCGAAGCGTACCGGATTGGCCTACGCGTTTACACTGCAGCTCCGGCACATACCAGATTACGCCAGTTTTCCACTTCAACCATATCGTAACGTACCGTAGTATTTTCTCTTGTGTCGAAGTCATTAGTTCCACACTAGTAGTGATACTACCGCTCAGGAAACAAAGAAATACGCTACGTTTCGGCACGATACGATTGAAGTGGAAAACTGCATGGCTTTAAGCCCCGTTTACACGAGCAAATTTTATTTGACAAATTACATTTGTCATAATAAATTTGTCACAAGTTTATCATCTACACGAGCAAAATATCTTCGACACATGAAATTTGTCAAATAAAATTTGCTCATGTAATATATATATATATATATATATATATATATATATATATATATATATATATATATATATATATATATATATATATATATATATATATATGCCGCTTCACTGTTGGCAGCTCATGTCTTGTGACAGTTTGGTCTTGTTGTGTCCGTCGTTGTAGCTAAGTTGACTCAAGTCATTTACGGCAAAATCAGCAAGTCTAGTCCGAGTCGAGTCATTTGGGGCTGTTGACTCGAGTCGAGTCATTTTTCGTTTTGGACTCGAGTCGAGTCGCTGAAAATAGCTACATCGACGGACACAACAAGACCAAACTGTCACAAACCGCCACAACGAGTGAAGAAAGCACATGTAACTGTAGAAAGAAAGAGGAGTGCCCAATGTCCAAAAAGTGTTTGGTCGAATCTATTGTATATCAAGCTACAGTTTCTACCAAAGATAATAGTCCACCTCAAACATACGTTGGTCTGACTGAAAACGCTTTTAAAACTAGATATTACAACCACAAAACCTCATTTACTTTGTACGAGAAAAGGAACTCCATGCACTGAACTTAGTAAATATGTCTGGCAGTTAAAGCGCAAAGGAATTGAATTTCATATTAAATGGCAAACCTTGAAACGGGCCAAACCCTACAGCCCTGCTTCTATATGTAATCTCTGCCTGTGGGAAAAATACTTTATTATATGTAAACCTGAACTAGCTACTTTGAACAAACGTAATGAATTAGTGTCTTCATGTAGACATGCGAAAAAATTTCTTTTAGCTAACATTTAAAGGGTATGCACTCGAGACAGACATATTTTTGTTTTAAATATACCGCGCAATCTTAATTAATAGCTTGGCGTTATGCTGATGTGTTGTTAATACTTCCGCGTCCTGTCAATTTTATCAAGTAACAAAATAATTGCTTTGCGTGCTTTGTAAAAAGGATTAATTTAAAGCTTTCATCCACTTGTACATAAATACTGTAGGTTTTCTGCTGTAGTCATAAGGCTAATTTATCTGATGAGTGCCACATCTTGTGGTACGAAACTAATAGTAATAAAGATGCCTAGTGGAATTTGTTGAGTCGTTGCACTGATTTAATTATGCTCTGGATATCCATTGAGCACTCTGCCAAATGTTTTTGTATCAAACAACGAAACGTAATTCTATATATATATATATATATATATATATATATATATATATATATATATATATATATATATATATATATATATATATATATATATATATACATACACACGTAAGTCTACTTTTATCGTAATGCTAATTACTGCCCGTTATTTATTAGACGCGTGCATATTAACATATTCGCCAACGCATGATGTCATCGTTTGCTAAAGTGCAGCGGTTGTTATTCTGACTAATTTTATACTATGTGATTGAATTTAAAGATCTAAATAACGGCTTTTAATACCTTAGAAATTCCTATCTCCAAAAATCGTTCCGTGTCCTTAGCTTAAAGCTAACTACATTGGCCGCAATGAAGAATTTCGACACAAATAAATTATGCAAACTAACTATAAATACTGACAAACACTTTTAGGATCTTGCAGTTTTAGAAGAAGCTTCACGATTTCCGAGCTTATAGCGATAAAGTAAACTATGTTTTCGAGGGGGCCAAATTTCCGAAGGGGATGGGGCCAAATTTCCGAAGGGGGGCCAAATTTCGTAGGAAATTTGGCCGGGGGGTGGGAATTTCCTGGCACACCGGATTACTGTGGCGTAGTGTAAACAGCGGCCGACAACTGCACCAGCGACGACGACCTCGACAACAATAGAGACCTTACGATTTTAGGACGTCAACGTGACGACGACGGCCAAAACAAACTCCTTCAAATAAATGGTAGTATATTATCAATCGTATATTATCAATCGTATGTATATTCAAATCAATATATCAATCGTATGTATATTCATATTATCAAATCGTCGTATATATATTATCAATCGTATGAATTTAAATACAGTCATAAAATTTGAAGACATGGCTTTTTTATGGTTGGGAAGAGTTCTGCTGCATGAACCCAGTTTGAAGTTGCACTTGTTGCGGCTTTAAATGTAGCCGTTGTATCAAGACATGAAAATCTGCGAGTCTGTGACTTAGCGTTGTAAACACAGCGAGGACAAGTCTAAATTATTCATATATTGTAATTATTCAATTCTTTTCAATGATTTATTGTATTGGTAGCCGTTGCCTTGCCGTCCTAAATCGTAAGGTCGTTAATAGGGAGTTTACGCATATAGAACGGCAACATCAGGACGGCGGCTATCAGTACATTATCATTAATCCTATAGCACAAAAGAAATGAATAATTAAAAGTATATCTGGAGTTTCGGACGTCGTCCATGCTCTGTTGACGACGGCAAAATGCATATTTTCGCGTCTTGTAAGGTACGCTAGCATTTCAAGCCGCGTGGCATGCGATTTTTCTAACAGCGTTGATCAAAATTGCTCTGAAGGTTAAAGCTCTGTTTTACTCGTTCTAAACTGTATTAAATTCATATATAAGAAAGTAAATACAGGACAACATTTTCATACAATCATTTATTTCAAAAAGTTTGTTTAGCCGTCGTCCTGACGCCGCCGTTGTACATGCGTAAACTCCCTAATAGAGACCTTACGATTTTAGGACGGCAACCGCGACGACGACGGCTACTAATACAATAGATTATTGAAAAGAGTTGAGTAATTCAGGACAATAAATGAATAATTTAGACATTGTCCTCGCTCTGTTTACAACGCCAAATCACAGATTTTCACGTGTTGATACAACGGCTGCATTCCAAGCCACTGACAAGTGCAACTTCAAACTTGGTTTAGCAGAACTCTTCCCAAACATAAAACCCATGTCTTCAACTTCTAAAACTGTATTAAATTCATACGACTGATAATATACGACGAACTATCGACTATACCATGTATTTCAAGGAGTTTGTTTTGGCCGTCGCCGTCGCGGTTGCCGTCCTAAAATCGTAAGGTCTCTAACAACGTGGTGAGGGCGACGAGAACCACCACAACATGCTCCTCGATCCTCCCTCCGCAGTCTTTGGTTGGGGGCCTCTGGACTTACGATTATGATTACAATTAACATTTCTATAGCGAAAATTTACCAACAAGAATTACCCTCGTCGACGTTATTTTCGTATCCTCGCCAAGACTAGTAGTCAACAGCGGCGTCATAGAAACCTGTATCAGCAATCATTTCCCTGTGTATGTATCACTAAAACTTAAAACCGACAAATCTCCACCAAACTATATCACTACCCGCAGCTACAATAAATACGACCCTGATTTGTTCGCGATCGATCTGGCATCCAAACGTGATCGTCTTGTTTCCATTTTCAGAATGGACAATGTTGATGAAAAACTAACCATTTTTAATGAAATATTTTTAAATACATTGGATAAACACGCCCCAGTAAAGACCATAAAAGTACGCGGAAAATCTTGCCCTTTTATCACCCCGGAAATAAAAGCATCCATGATCAAAAGAGACCAGCTCCACAGTCTTTTCAGGAAAACACGTGATCATTATGATTGGCTTAATTTCAGAGAGGCCCGCAATTTTACAAAAACCGCACTTGTTAATGCACAGAAAGAACATGTACTGAAGGAAGTTCAGCAACACAGAAACAATACTGGGTCACTTTGGAAGGTAATTAAAGAAAATATAGCGTATAGGAAAAGAGAGTCAGTGGTCTACAGTAAGGAACCGAAATTAGTGGCCGAAGAGTTTAATCATTTCTTTTCCACCATCGGTGTGAATGCAGCAAAGAAAGCCTCAACACTAATACAAGATCCTAGTGTTTATCCAGCTCGGAATCTTTCTGACGTAAATCGCACAGATAACAGCTACCCTGAAGAAAATGATAGATTTAGTTTCACCCCAGTCTCTTGTTCAGAAATAAGGAACATCATATTAGCTATGCCGTCAAACAAATCACCCGGCAAAGACAAAGTGAGTATGCGTGTCATCAAACACAGCCTACCGGTAATTCTTAATCTCCTTACCTTTCTTTCGAAAATTTGTGAAAAAGTCGCCTTGAATCAATTTGGTTCGTATCTAATGAAGAACAAAAAATTGTCAACCCACCAGAGCGGGAACAAGAAACATCACTCATGCGAAACATTGAATCTTTTGACCGGAGATACTATCCTAAAGGCCATGCATGGGAAATTGGTTACTGCACTGATTCTAATAGATCTATCTAAAGCTTTCGACAGTGTAAATCATACTTTTCTCCTTACAAAACTTAGCAACGTCGGGGCTTCTCCAAGCGTTGTAAAATGGTTTGAGAGTTACTTGACCGGAAGAACTCAATCAGTCAGAATTGGATCAACTGTGTCTACTCCTCTCCCTGTTTCGTATGGTGTACCACAGGGTGCAATTTTATCACCTTTACTTTTTAGTATTTATACTAACGATTTGCCCTCATCAGTCCACCATAGTAAACTTGAATCGTACGTGGACGACTCCAAGATATTACTATCTTTCACTGTGGCTAACGTAGACTGTTTAAAGCAACAACTTGAGGAAGACTTGTATTTGATTGCAAACAGTTGTTCCGAAAATGAATTGCTTATTAACCCGGGAAAGACCAAATACATGCTGATTGGCACACGGCAAAACCTACAACAACTTCCCGTAGATATGACCATAAACTTCCTCAACGAGACAATTACCCCCGTCTCCTTTGCCAAAGATCTAGGAATGACAATCGACTCTTATTTGACATATGACCAGCACATCACCAACCTGATTTCCTCATGTATGAATTCCCTGTGCCAAATAAACCGAGTCAAAAAATGTTTCGATAAAGAAGCTTTAACTCTCATCGTCTCGGCACTTGTAATGAACAAAATGGTCTATTGTTCAACGGTTTGGTCAAACACTTCGTCTACCAACATTAAGAAACTACAGTTGGTACAAAATTTTGCATGCAGGATAATAACAAATATTGGAAAGTTCGACCATATTTCGCCGGGCTTACGCGAACTTAACTGGCTCCCAGTAAAGGAACAATTACTACTAAGAGAGGCTATTATGATGTACAAATGTGTCAATGAACTTGCTCCACATTATTTGAGCGATTTATTCACAAAACGTTCTGACATTCATCAACGAGATACACGTAGCCATGACTCACTGCAAATACCATTGTACAAAACTTCTGCAGGTCAAAGGTCCTTTCATTATAGAGGCGTTACACTCTGGAATGATTTGGACATAAAGTTCAAAAAGTTAGACTCCCTAAAAACTTTCAAAAACGAACTGAAGCGAAGCATGCTAGAACAAATATATAAGTAGATAATTTTACCTTGTTAAACTTTATACAAATGTCTTACCTTTTTACCTTAATTTAAATTCTAGATTCTAAAACTTGTAAATAGAACAACATTTATTTTTTGTAAATCAGTGTTGAAAATCCCTTTTTAGGGAACACAATAAAGTATGTATATGTATATGTATATGTATATTTAATAGCCCTTCCGACAGCATGTTCGCTTTGAATTCTGCATGTGTTGACAGTGTTGTAAAGGCAGTCAAGCACTTCTCCCCTTGTGTTTCAACCTCCTTCAATCATGCATCTTAAGCCTGCAGCACACGAGAGCTATCTGCTGAGCAAAAAGTTACTCGTGCCTGTTAGCTCAGCTGATAGCTCACCGATCAAACATGTTTGATATGTGAGAAAAGGTTGCATGAGGCAAAAAACTCAGTAAAATGTACCCGCACACGGTGAGCTATCGGCTGAGCTAACAGGCACGAGTAACTTTTTGCTCAGCAGATAGCTCTCGTGTGCGGCAGGCTTTATTCATCGTATTCTAACGCTTTATCGTGGCAACAAAACAATTCAATATCCTTTGGTTTCAATGTGCAATGCGCCAAGCATTTTCGACCTCAAACACATGGTGATTTTCTCGTCAGACGTTCACTCTGTTCTTCGGAGTCGCTCTCGTCACCGCTATCGCTTGTTTGTAAGCCCAGTTTTAGTTCAAATTGATAAGGTAATACCTTATCTACTTGATATCGTGGATATTTTCCATCCGAGTAATCAAAAAGCGCCAAATTTCTCACTAGAAGTACGAAGTCGCAATATGCGCCTAATAAAATATATTTGTTGTTTTGATTCTACCCTGCTCTTGACGTCACACAGGTCATGTGACCCAAAAGATAATTTTTTTGAAAATCGATCCAAGATGGCGGACGTACTGAATATTTACGGTGAAATAACTCGAGAACAAAACATTTTTGATGAAAACTAATAGCATATTCGTAATCAGGGGGTCCAGTTTTACCAATATCAGGAATAAAAAAATTTATTGCCATTGTCCTTTAAATGGTTAAAGGTGATCTACAGTCCGTATGTAAACAAAGCCTTTGTTTACATTTTTGTGTCTAAAATATTGAGCTTTATTCGACAACTATTTATATTTTCAAGCTTCTAGAGTATAATAAATGATCAAGAAACAACAATCAGGCTTTTCAAGAACTCAAAACATAGTTAAACTGTTTGTATCATAAAAAGTGGGCTCATTTGTGCACATGCGCAGATCGGACTGTAGATCACGCTCTGAAAACATATTATGCCATTGCCGGTTATAAAAATTTCACTATATCTAGTGGATAGCAATATTCAGCTTTCGTACATGTGGCCCTTGAGCTACATTCCTATTGAAGAATTACAGTAATTAATTTATCTGTCTATAAGATAACGTCCAAATATTTGAGCTATATGGGGCGTGAAGTTGAACTGTTTCATCCACACTTGGTTATAAAATTTATAAACCGATCTGCCGATATCAAAGACCCGGCCTTAACGCGCTCTAAGACTATGTATATTTGGGAAAGCCTCAGAAGAAGAAAAAAACACGCATTCCAAAGGGAGAAAATGGGAGGAAATATTTTTCTCGGAACCCACGGCATTTTCTCAGGACCGCAACCTCAGGAATGCAACCGATGTTGCTGTCATTTAAAACTGCTGAAGTCTATCCTAAAGAATTTATTTAATAACTGAGATGTGGAATTGTAACGAAATAGAGAGTTCTGAAATATCGCAAACTACAAACGGAACAAACCTTGAATGTAAACAATGCTACTCGGACTGTTATTAAATGAGCGCTGTGAAATTTCCAAATTCCAACATGCCATTGACTTCGCTGAAACTTGATGCTCAAGAAATATGTAGAAGTATACCTCTCTGTTATCAAACCTACCGTAAAATAATGCGACAAAAGCCTACTGAAAAATAAGTCAAAGCATGAATGTTACAAATACTGTATGTGACTGTAAATTTGTAACTTTATATGTTTGACATTAGAAAATACAAACCACATAATAAATTTGACACTAGATTCACTACTGCAACATGGTTAGATACTAAATATGTATTTAAGTGAAATCTCTCAAATGGTTTTATTTCCCCCTAGTAAAACAGACATTGCATTACATTAACACTGTCCAAGTGAAATTTCTCGCTTATTACTGGAAGAACATCGATCATGACGATCAACAAATTACAGTGAAGCCCTGAATGTCACAATTTAGCTATTTATGGTAGCACAGCTATTTCCTATTGAAGAATTACAATAGTTCGCTTTCTATAAGATTATAACTTCCAAATATTTGAGTTATATGGGGGCGTGAAGTTGAACTGTTTCATCCACACTTGGTTATAATATTTATAAACCGATTTGCCGATATAAAAAACCCGGTCTTAATAACGCACTCTAACACTATGTATATTTGGGAAAGTCTCAGAAGAAAAAAAACACGCATTCTAAAGGGAGAAAGGTAAATATTTGGAAATATTTTGCTTGGAACCCACGGCATTTTCTCAGGACCCACGACTTCTTATTTGAGACCCACGACTTTTTATTCGGGACCCACGACTTTTTATTCGGGACCCACGATTTTTTACCCACAACCCACGACTTTTTACCCACGACCCACGACTTTTTACCCACGACTTTTTACCCACGACTTTTTACCCACGACTTTTTACTCACGACTTTTTACCCACGATCCACGACTATTTGCCCACGACCCACGACATTCTACCCACGACTGTTAGCTAGTCCCGTTTGCGTTGTTTACGCGGAAATACCTAATCGAATTGTGGGAGTGTATTGTTTGCGTTGTTTACGCGAAATTTCTTCCTATGTCTGCACGTAGACATAATTTCCATTATTTTATTGTGTAAACAGTTTTGGTTTTCTTTCAAAATACAAAATGTTTCCTCTATACATAAATTACATCGTTTTGATCCTCCCGTATACGAAATAGCGCGTTTCAAAATTTGCCAATTGATATTAAATTCTTTCTTGTTATCTTTCAATGTCCACATATATTTCGAAAGTTCGGTTTTGTTTGAATGCTCTTTATGCTCGAAAGTATAGTTATGGTTAGCCAAACGCTCTTTAAATGTAGTTGATGTCATGCCAATGTAATTCATGATCGTGTTAGGGTTGCTTGTTGTGACTGTTGCTTTGTATACTATGTCCTTAGTCATGCATTGTTTCTGAAGTGGGCATATTGCGTTTTTCGAACAACTGCAGTTGACAGTGCCCTTGTCCTGTGCCTCGTTCTTCCTAGCTATATGTACATTGTGCTCAGTGATTTTAGACTTAACATTGCTCATGCAGCTATAACTTACTTTTACTGTATTTCTGTTGAAGATCTTATGCAGCTTGTGGTGCGATGGAAAGTGCTTCTCAATAAGGTTAAGAAAATTACGCCCTATATTATATAGTGCTGACATTCATGTTAAATGGTGGGTTGAACCAAATGATATTACGTTGCCTATTTCTGCGTGCTTGCTGTGGTACGTGTTGAGTGTAGTTAAGATCATGATTGAAGTTGCTATGGTCAAGTGCGTCATGGTATCCAGGTGCAGATTCCGTAAAGGTTTGCTCATCTGATGAAAGCAGTGCAATGCGCTTGTTAATTGATGTAGGTAGCTGCCTTATAATGCTAGGTGGATGGTTAGAGTACCTATTTATGTATAGCGGATCGTCATTGGGCTTCCTATAGGGCCTATATTTTCCGTTGTTAAGATCGAAAGTTACATCTAAAAAGTTTACTATGCGTAAATTTGATTCGGCGGTGATTTTTAGTTCTCACACATCATTAGATATTCATAGCATTTCGGCCAATGACATGGTGTAATTTACATCACGTGTATCTATCTGGATACCCCGTCTAGACCAGGACTTTAATTACTTCAAGTGGGAAGGGCTTTGAACAATAGGGAAATTGAGGGGTAAACAAAAGATTATGCAAATATATTTAATTGCTATGTTTAGAATGATTTCTAAATACAGTAAGCTGTATTTAGAAATAACTTCTAAATACACAAAAACATTAAATCACATTTCAAACAACAAAATATTTTGCTTTATTAATCACACTAACAATAACACACGTAAAATTGACTTAGTATTACTTATTTCCGGCAAACGAAATGTTAAAGGAACAGTTAGTGAATGTACTGTTCGACAAAACAAACTTTTCTGCGATAGTACGTCGCTGCACCTCTTTATCAATTTTAGACCAATCCACTTCACTCAAAAACTTATCAAGTTCCTCGTCGGAAATTTGAAACTTTTCGTCTTCCTTAGGCTTCGAGGGTGGCTTAAAACAGTTGTCAGCAAGCGACACAACCTTTGATACAGATGGGCCAACACACTTGGATACAGCCATTGCATGATCATTACTAGGTTTCTCATACGTAAATAAGGCAGAAGAAACATGCCCAGTTCGTTCACGTATTAATTTTTCCTGATGGCCAGCACGAAACAAATTTGTTGCTGTTGTGACACGAAGGCAGTGTGCTATCTTAATCTCAAGGCCAGCTTCTTTCATTAAAAAAGGCACGATAGAATTAAGCTTATGAATACCAATTGGTGCAGTTTCGAATTTATACGCTGTTTTACTCGGTCGAAAATAGAATGATTCATTAATTTTCGTAATACCATGATGACCTCGGGTTCTTTTGTTCTCGCCGGGTGGTTTAATCACGATATTCCCGGAGTAGCGGGAAGATTTCTAATTTCTCCCTGATTAAAAGTCATGAGCCAAAATTCAAAGACACGACAAAGAGTTTTCTTAATAGCTTTTACACCACAAACAAAATAATTACACTACAATGTTAATGACAGTAAGGTAAAGTGTTAATTACTCGACTTATTAATATTCATTTTTCACTAAACATTTCACACAATTATATTATAAAGACAGTAATTTATTTACTCATATTAATGTTGAGATGTTCACAGTTCCACAATTAGCTCCTTGTAGTAGTCCGCTCAAATCTATACCCTTTCATCGCTAACCGTCACTGCATCTGCTCTCTTCTTCATTGGGCTTTGGCATCAGCTTCCCATCAAGCGTTTGCTGAAGCGGCTTAAACTGAGCCGAATTAAACAGGTTTAACTTTGGATATTGCAACTGAACTGTTCGGTTTAAACCACAAAACAGACTATACATGACTTTGTGGCAGTATTCTTTACCGTTTTTCTTCCGTACTTCTAGGGTTAATCGGCTAAACCAGTCAGATTAATTTCGTCAACGCTCATCTCCTGCAAATCTTGCACACGCTTGAATACTCCACTCTCGGCTTCAAAATCACGAAACTCGGTATTTCTTGCCTTTGCCCATGCTTTATAAACATTCGTGCTCCACCTAGTGTGTTTGATAGTATTCTCAGGCGTTCTGTTATCTCTAACTTTCTGAACATCGGCTTCCATAACAAACCAGAAACGTTTATCCGCCATATCATTCTTAGTGAGCGTCCAAAAACAAGAGTTGAGTTAAAAAGTAACTCATTTTATATGCATGCATGCATGCACATGCACCCGGCACTGACACACGTATATTAAGAATTGTTTATTCGCAAACGAATTTCCGACAATGGAAAATTGTTGTATACATCACTGATCATGCATTGTATTACACAATACTCGTACTATCAATTAATTTTGTACAATGAAAACACTAGCCTCAAATCCTCGTTTCAAATCTTCAAATCCTCGTTAGTGTTTTAAACTTGGCTTCCAAATCCCCAGTGCCATGAACAATGGCTCGGCTGCGCCTCGCCATTGTTCATGGCACTTGTATTTAGAAACCACGTCTAAAACACTAACTCGGATTTGAAATATTACATCTTTTATGTCTTGGAATGGTTATCCTAATGGCGTTAGAAACCTTTTGGCGATTAAAAAGCTTAAAACCAAATATATTATTGATAGTTCAACTTCCGATGCCGTTAATTATGACACAAATGATATGTTGCCTACAATTTGGATTCCTATTCCTTATCTCGGAAACAGTGGCGATTTTCTTTTAAAATCATGTCTTAATAAAATACAAAGATTTCTTTCTTAACCGGTTAAGGTTCATCACTATTTATGACACTAAAAAATCTCTCTTATTTTGTTTCCTACAAAGGTAAACTTCCTCCTTTATCTCGTTGTAATTTTGTATACGAGGTCGCTTGCCCTGGTTGTGGCAAAACCTATATTGGCATGCGCAAAGATGCCTTTCTGTACGCTTGAAAGAGCATGCAACTAGGCTCTCTTCTAATGCAGTGGGCCAACATTTTTCTGAGTGTGAACATGCTCAATTCTTAGCAACTTTACAAGACCAGTTCGTTCACATTACTCAACGATCTTCCTTTGCCCTCTGACAACTCTTCTCCTATTGAAAACCTTGTTTTGAACAGCTACAGAATACTTCACATTGTCGAATCTAGCAATTACAACATTCTTGCTTTTCTTGAAGCACTGCTTATCAAACACAACAAACCTTTTCTTAACACTGGACTTAAAGCTAGTAAAGAACTACAACTGTTCACATAACACTCTAACTTAATCTTCTTCTACTTGTCGGGTCTTTCCTTTTTACCTTATATTAATCCTTGATATAAACATTGTTGTAAATATAGCTAAATAATCCATTTTCAGTTTTTACTAATTTCTTTATCATGTTTCGATTCGCTTGGTTAAGCCTTCTTTCCGCCCACATGACAGATGCTCTCTCTCTCCGTTGTATATATATATATATATATATATATATATATATATATATATATATATATATATATATATATATATATATATATGTGTGTGTGTGTGTGTGTGTGTGTGTGTTGTAAAGTATTGTATTTCATTCTGTCTGAAGATGCCTTTGAAATAAAGTCGAAAATTTACAGTCTCAAACTGCGTCTTGTTTTGAATTATATATTGAATTCTCAAGATGTCCTGTATTTTCGGAATTTGTTTTTTACTATATGTTTTATATAAACAAAGACCTAAAGCAAAAATATTCTTTACACTGAACATTTATTACATAACTATATTATTGCAGTGTAAGGATGTATGTTAATGTAATGTTACATTCTGATATTCTTTCATTCATTTTGCAGATAAAATCATTCACAGATACCACAAGACATATCACAATGGATCATGCTGAACAGCCCAAGCAAAATCATACCCTGATTTGGCTACAAAGTCATAATAATAACTTGTCTGAATAGTTTAGCTCACAGACAACAAAATTAATTATTTCTAATAATTGATAATTGTTTATTATTTAATGAAGAGGTTGAATAATTAAACAAATTATAACTATGAACTGTTTCATGCACCATCAAATAATTCTGTAAAGAGCAAAAAGAGATTATATAATTAAAATGTTGTAAATTAAAGTTTTCGCTAGAGACAAAAGAATAAGAAGTGAAAAAAGGAAATGAGACGAAAAGCGGCTTAAACCAACCACACTACTTGAAGGCTTCAATGTATCATGCAGCTACCTGAAAAATAATACTATAGGTCTTTCACTTCAAATGTTGAAGTTCATTGATTTCTTTGTTTCAGGTAGTTGCATCATACAACGTGCACACAAAGAGGACTGGAATAAACAAAACCCTAAAGAAATCCACCTGGCACTGGAAGTGACATAATCTACCAATTTATTTTTGTTTCGACTTGACGTCTGATTAGCATCAGTGGCGTGCTGGCAGGGGGGGCCGGGCCCCCCCCCCCCAGCTGGCAATTCTTGGGGGGCGCAAAAATGAAAATGGGGCGCCGAATTTTGAAAGTGGGTGGGAAAAAACGCATTCTCGAAAAAATATGGTTACTTCCGCCAAGAAAAGACATGTTTATAGGCTACAGTATAAAACAGACTAAGCGCATATAGGCGACATATATTAAATTACAGACTATTTTGCCTATAACCGTATTTGCTACCTCACAGCTCACACGAAATCGTTCATATAGAAACATGATCAGTGATCACAGGCAATGTCTCATTACCGGAATATTGGTCAGGTTTCGATCGATGCGATCACAGGAATTATGCCCTTTTTTGCTGGTATTATGCCCTTATATTATGCCCTTTATTATGCTTCACGAATCACGAGAGCGGCGCAAATTAGATAGTTGAAGTTATGATAACTGATGTTTAGTTGTGTACGCAATTTAGTTGTTTGCACAAGAAGCATGAGTAATGTAAGTAATGAAATAATGCTGAAACATGCCCTTTTGGCAGCCAGGCAAAGAAGCCTTAAAATGCATATGCGTGGGTTGCTTGTGTTATTGTATAAAAGAGCTTTAAGTTGTAAATGTACTCAGAACAGTAGATCAGTAGAGAACAGAATTGGGATTAGATTAATCGCTGGAAGTAGTTAGCATTGCATAATTTAAGTACTGCTACTAAATTCTAACCGAATTGCAAATTTCGACACGTTATAATGCCGTTTCCTGACCATCAGATTTCTGTCAAATCTTCCCCCAAAGTCCAGGAAATGGCATTTCAGAGACTCTAAATTAAAATTTTTTCCTGGGGGGGGCATGCCCCCGGACCCCCCTAGACAAACCTCGCACCTGCGGCACTCGGCTCGTGCCTTCGGCCCTCGTTTATGAAGTGTAACATTATAGGGGCGCATATTGGTTGACAGCCCACTGGCCCCTCCAGAAAAATAGTACCCAGCACGCCACTGATTAGCATGTGTGACTTTCTTCAGTTCTGGCTTGTATAATGTGCAACCCAATAAAGCCTATAATTTACATTCAAGAACTATAATCCTACTCCTAGTGGTTCAAGAATCCTTAATCCAACATGTCATTAGCCTGAAAGCTAGGTAGAAATCATAATTATTACCAGATAAGCTGCCTACAGCATCCTGAGCTTCTGGCACCCCTAGATTATGCATATTATAATAAACACCGAATCTATAGTACAAGTATATATAAACACAAAAAATATAGATAGAAGCACATTGTTTCTTGCTTTTACACGTGAATGTACACTTATTCAGCACAAAACAAACGTTTCTGTATTTTCTACAACAAAACTTTAAATACTCGGGGGGAAATAGTACGTTATACTATACAAAGAGCCTGTTCTTATTGTAGATATGAGAACGCAACATAAAAAAGATGAATGAAATACTGTCGGACACTTCAAAATTTGAACTTTTGAATGATGATGAAATCAAGCTCACTCTCAAGCGTGAAAGTCAAGTTAAGACGTTATTAAGGAAACTAAAAGCTGACAATTGCATTAATGAAAGAACTTACAACGAACTGTATCCCACTGGTAGGGCCTACACGTATAGGCATACTATATGGACTTCCAAAAATTCGCAAATCCTCTATTCCTTTAAGACCTATTCTATCTTCTATCAATCATTATATCTTCTATCAATCATCTCACTCCTATCTCTACAAGCTCTTTCGTCATCAAGGACTCGTTCTCTTTTGTTCAAGAACTCTTGAACAGCGACATCAACTCAGATAGTGTGGTTATGGCTAGCTTTGACGTTACTTCATTGTTTACCAACATTCCTGTTGATGAAACAA